GCTCTAGCTGTAGTTCATCTACTAATAACATGTTTCCAATGCTCTAATCCAGTGCTTGATGTGTGACCTGCTCTAGCTGTAGTTCATCTACTAATAACATGTTTCCAATGCTCTAATCCAGTGCATGATGTGTGACCTACTGTAGCTGAAGTTCATCTACTAATAACATGTTTCTCATGCTCGAATCCAGTGCATGATGTGTGACCTGCTCTAGCTGTAGTTCATCTACTTATAACATGTTTCTCATGCTCTAATCCAGTGCATGATGTGTGACCTGCTCTACCTGTAGTTCATCTACTAATAACATGTTTCTCATGCTCTAATCCAGTGTATGATGTGTGACCTGCTTTAGCTGTAGTTCATCTACTAATAACATGTTTCTCATGCTCTAATCCAGTGTATGATGTGTGACCTGCTTTAGCTGTAGTTCATCTACTAATAACATGTTTCTCATGCTCTAATCCAGTGCATGATGTGTGACCTGCTCTAGCTGTAGTTCATCTACTAATAACATGTTTCTCATGCTCTAATCTAGTGTATGATGTGTGACCTGATTTAGCTGTAGTTCATCTACTAATAACATGTTTCTCATGCTCTAATCCAGTGTATGATGTGTGACCTGCTTTAGCTGAATGTTCATCTACTAATAACATGTTTCTCATGCTCTAATCCAGTGCATGATGTGTGACCTGCTCTAGCTGTAGTTCATCTACTAATAACATGTTTCTCATGCTCTAATCCAGTGTATGATGTGTGACCTGCTTTAGCTGTAGTTCATCTACTAATAACATGTTTCTCATGCTCTAATCCAGTGTATGATGTGTGACCTGCTTTAGCTGTAGTTCATCTTCTAATAACATGTTTCTCATGCTCTAATCCAGTGTATGATGTGTGACCTGCTTTAGCTGTAGTTCATCTACTAATAACATGTTTCCAATGCTCTAATCCAGTGCATGATATGTGACCTGCTCTAGCTGTAGTTCATTTACTAAAAACATGTTTCTCATGCTCTTATCCAGTGCATGATGTGTGACCTGCTCTAGCTGAAGTTCATCTACTAATAACATGTTTCTCATGTTCTAATCCAGTGTATGATGTGTGACCTGCTTTAGCTGTAGTTCATCTACTAATAACATGTTTCTCATGCTCTAATCCAGTGCATGATCAGTGACCTGCTTTAGCTGTAGTTCATCTACTAATAACATGTTTCTCATGCTCTAATCCAGTGCATGATGTGTGACCTGCTCTAGCTGTAGTTCATCTACTTATAACATGTTTCTCATGCTCGAATCCAGTGCATGATGTGTGACCTGCTCTAGCTGTAGTTCATCTACTAATAACATGTTTCTCATGCTCTAATCCAGTGCATGATGTGTGCCCTGCTCTAGCTGTAGTTCATCTACTTATAACATGTTTCCAATGCTCTAATCCAGTGCATGATGTGTGACCTGCTCTAGCTGTAGTTCATCTACTAATAACATGTTTCCCATGCTCTAGTCAAGTGCATGATGTTTGACTTGCTCTAGCTGTAGTTCATCTACTAATAACATGTTTCTCATGCTCTAATCCAGTGCATGATGTGTGACCTGCTCTAGCTGTAGTTCATCTACTAATAACATGTTTCTCATGCTCTAATCCAGTGCATGATGTGTGACCTGCTCTAGCTGTAGTTCATCTACTAATAACATGTTTCCAATGCTCTAATCCAGTGCATGATGTGTGACCTGCTTTAGCTGTAGTTCATCTACTAATAACATGTTTCTCATGCTCTAATCCAGTGCATGATGTGTGACCTGCTTTAGCTGTAGTTCATCTACTAATAACATGTTTCCAATGCTCTAATCCAGTGCATGATGTGTGACCTGCTTTAGCTGTAGTTCATCTACTAATAACATGTTTCTCATGCTCTAATCCAGTGCATGATCAGTGACCTGCTTTAGCTGTAGTTCATCTACTAATAACATGTTTCTCATGCTCTAATCCAGTGTATGATGTGTGACCTGCTTTAGCTGTAGTTCATCTACTAATAACATGTTTCTCATGCTCTAATCCAGTGTATGATGTGTGACCTGCTCTAGCTGTAGTTCATCTACTAATAACATGTTTCTCATGCTCTAATCCAGTGCATGAAGTGTGACCTGCTTTAGCTGTAGTTCATCTACTAATAACATGTTTCCAATGCTCTAATCCAGTGCATGATGTGTGACCTGCTTTAGCTGTAGTTCATCTACTAATAACATGTTTCTCATGCTCTAGTCAAGTGCATGATGTGTGACCTGCTCTAGTTGTAGTTCATCTACATAACATGTTTCTCATGCTCTAATCCAGTGCATGATGTGTGACCTGCTCTAGTTGTAGTTCATCTACTAATAACATGTTTCTCATGCTCTAGTCTAGCGCATGATGTGTGACCTGCTTTAGCTGTAGTTCATCTACTAATAACATGTTTCTCATGCTCTAGTCAAGTGCATGATGTGTGACCTGCTCTAGTTGTAGTTCATCTACATAACATGTTTCTCATGCTCTAATCCAGTGCATGATGTGTGACCTGCTCTAGTTGTAGTTCATCTACTAATAACATGTTTCTCATGCTCTAGTCTAGCGCATGATGTGTGACCTGCTTTAGCTGTAGTTCATCTACTAATAACATGTTCCTCATGCTCTAATCCAGTGTATGATGTGTGACCTACTTAAGCTGTAGTTCATCTACTAATAACATGTTTCTCATGCTCTAATCCAGTGCATGATCAGTGACCTGCTTTAGCTGTAGTTCATCTACTAATAACATGTTTCTCATGCTCTAGTCTAATGCATGACATGTGACCTGCTCTAGCTGTAGTTCATCTACTAATAACATGTTTCTCATGCTCTAATCCAGTGTATGATGTGTGACCTACTTTAGCTGAAGTTCATCTACTAATAACATGTTTCCCATGCTCTAATCCAGTGCATGATGTGTGACCTGCCCTAGCTGTAGTTCATCTACTAATAACATGTTTCTCATGCTCTAACCCAGTGCATGATGTGTGACCTGCTTTAGCTGTAGTTCATCTACTAATAACATGTTTCTCATGCTCTAATCCAGCGCATGATGTGTGACCTGCTGTAGCTGAATGTTCATCTACTAATAACATGTTTCCAATGCTCTAATCCAGTGCATGATGTGTGACCTGCTCTAGCTGTAGTTATCTACTAATAACATGTTTCCCATGCTCTAATCCAGTGCTTGATGTGTGACCTACTTAAGCTGTAGTTCATCTACTAATAACATGTTTCTCATGCTCTAATCCAGTGCATGATCAGTGACCTGCTTTAGCTGTAGTTCATCTACTAATAACATGTTTCTCATGCTCTAACCCAGTGCATGATGTGTGACCTGCTTTAGCTGTAGTTCATCTACTAATAACATGTTTCTCATGCTGCTCTAGTCTAGCGCATGATATGTGACCTGCTCTTGCTGTAGTTCATCTACTAATAACATGTTTCTCATGCTCTAATCCAGTGCATGATATGTGACTTGCTCTAGCTGTAGTTCATCTACTAATAACATGTTTCTCATGCTCTAGTCTAGCGCATGATATGTGACCTGCTCTAGCTGTAGTTCATCTACTAATAACATGTTTCTCATGCTCTAATCCAGTGCATGATATGTGACTTGCTCTAGCTGTAGTTCATCTACTAATAACATGTTTCTCATGCTCTAATCCAGTGTATGATGTGTGACCTGCTGTAGCTGAAGTTCATCTACTAATAACATGTTTCTCATGCTCTAATCCAGTGTATGATGTGTGACCTACTTTAGCTGAAGTTCATCTACTAATAACATGTTTCTCATGCTCTAATCCAGTGTATGATGTGTGACCTACTTTAGCTGTAGTTCATCTACTAATAACATGTTTCTCATGCTCTAATCCAGTGCATGATCAGTGACCTGCTTTAGCTGTAGTTCATCTACTAATAACATGTTTCTCATGCTCTAATCCAGTGTATGATTTGTGACCTACTTTAGCTGAAGTTCATCTACTAATAACATGTTTCTCATGTTCTATTCTAGTGACTTGCTGTGGTTCATCTAATATACTAATAACATGTTCAAGAAAACTCATACATGTGTGCTTAATCGCTAATATCTTCTATCATAACTTATGCTAGGTTTCTATTGTGCCTTGTGTTATTTGTAATTATTTGTTTCTAATTAATATGAAACATGTTCCTGCACTATGTTCTGTGAGAACCTATATTTGTTACAATCTAGATGTTGAATTCACAAACAACAAATTTTACAAACAAACAAATTGCAATAATTAGTCAAACAAAGAAAAGATTCTACTAACCAAAAAAATGTCTTTCCGAACCTTGTTGGAACAAAATAGCATATACCAAATTTTCTCTCAATAATATAGTTATACAAAGGAAGTTTTGGTTGAAAAAGTATTCAAAACATTTAAACAAAAAACTCCAAAATAGATAGAAATTAAGATAAATCTTCTTCTAAATCAACCAAACTTTCCTTTGTACAATTACAATATTGAGAGACATTCGTGTTTATGTTATTTTGGTCTAAATAAGGTTCGGATAGATGTTTCATTTCATTCCTAACATTTGGAACCGAGAACAAAAGAAGTGTTTGATGTGTTTTCTAAAACAATATAGAAAAAAAGTATATACTTTTTTCAATTTTTATTGTTCAAAAGATGACCATTGAATTGACTGTGTAAAATTTTCAGAAGTTTTTGATGTCTGGTTTGAGAGAAACGTGTGTTCAAAAAGTTCACCATATCGATACCAGTCCTTTAAAGGCAGATGATTTGTGTTCTTTATTTTTTTTGAAAATGGAGATTGAGATTTGCTTGACAAGTTACTAGATATTTTCCCTGTATCAACATTTATATCTTAGTTTGCTCTATAAATATAATGTTTTGGATAAAGACGATATTTGACCAGTCTAAGTGAATAACCTTCATACAGAATACAGTATGTTGATATTGCTTATACATCAGGTCGCCTTGAGTTCATCCTGGGTGGTTGGTGTATGAATGATGAGGCAGCGACACACTACAATGCCATCATAGACCAGCACACACTTGGCTTTAAGTTCTTAAAGGACAACTTTGGCGACTGTGCCAGGCCCAGGGTTGCTTGGCAGATTGATCCATTTGGTCATAGTAGAGAGCAGGCATCTTTGTTTGCACAGGTGAGCCTTTAATAGTCACTTTTATAAAACTAGAGTTTCATACACCACTTGATCTCAAAAGTTTTGATACTAAATTATGTTACATACTTTGTCCCTCAAGAAAAAATGTTAATGGAATTTGATATGCTTGTACTACAAGTTCACATATTGCTCAATAGATGGGGTTTGATGGACTGTTCTTTGGTCGTCTTGACTACCAGGATAAGGCTTGGAGACTTAACAACCGCACCATGGAGCATATGTGGAGAGGAAGCCCTGACAACCTAGGTGAGTGGCCTTTAAAGCTTTACAAAATGTCAGTCAGGAATCTGTTTTGTTGCCTTGACAACTTACACATCAGGGACCTGTTGGTTGCCTTGACAACTTACACACCAGGGACCTGGTGATTGCCTTGACAACTTACTAGTACCCATCAGGGACCTGTTGATTGCCTTGATAACTTGATTGTTCTGAAAATTTATACATCTGAGCCTGATTTGGTTGCATTAACACCATTTGCATGCATCACAAGATATTATGCTGCTAAATTAATTTTGGAATTTTCATCTGATAACATTATTAGACAATAATGCACGTATCAAAAGCTAAGATTGATGTTTGACCTGGCAGTTCTATGATTTAGGAAAGCAGGGAGACCTGTTTACAGGTGTATTATATAATAGCTACAACCCTGCTCCTGAGACATGGTTTGGTTGGAACTTTGGGGTGTGGACCAATGATCCCATCATGGTGAGATAGGGCATCCCCCTGGCCCAAGACCACCCCAACCCCATGTAGAGTAGAGATATATATGTATATAATATAATAGTTAGGGGCATGTCAAATTGTTATTGGTATCATTTTGCCAAAAGTAATTAAAGAGAGAATCAGAGATAGCGAGCAGCCTAACAAAAAACTGTTTCAATTTTAAAATATTTCTGGCTTATGTCATTCCTTTTCATGTCTATTTTCTAAAAATTCCCAAAGTGCACAATTTATTTCAGGAAAACTAAAGATTTTTACAGTAATGTGTTATTTTTCTTATAAGAATGGTTACCATTCTTATTATTTGGGAGAATTTAAACATTTTTCACCCATTTTTGCACCTTGAATCCATTATAACTTCACCAATTTATAATATATCTAAGATCTTTTGGGAGATATTTGTATGTATGCTTGTAATTTTGTCACCCCCATAGATCTGATTCTGCCTTTAAATGAAGGCCTTTTTGTGAGATTCATTGATAACATATTAGTTATTGAAGTGAATTGCTGTTTATTTAGCAGTGCTCTTTGTATTTCACCCCAAAAATTACTTTAATGTGAAATGACATTGACCTGTCCCCTCCTTATGCAATACATAAAATGGCATTGTGATCTTGATTCTCTTTGACTCCCTCTGCTCTCTTACATCTGTTTAAATTTCTTACTTGGTTGCTATCTTATGTTGGGCCTTCATGTTTGATATTCTTGATTACCTCACAGGTAGATGGAGCTATTATAACTTTCTAGATTATTCCTTGTTCCTAAAAGCATAGTCACAATGCCATCTTATATGCAGCATCTTATGTTAAGGCCCTGTTTGTATCTCCTCTTGGCCAGATGTATCCTCAAAATTGTATCACACACTTTTCCTAATGGTTAGCCTTGCCCAAGTCGGTATTTTTTTACTTATCAGATCTTGAATTATTACGTCATAATAGAAATCAAGATAAGTAAAAGAGACCGACTTGAGCAAGGCTAGCTAATGGTATTCTTTCCCTAATCCATTCCTCCCTTCATATATCTTCAAGGCACTGATTATCATTTCTGGGGAGACTGCATATCTTGATCTGCTTTCCATTCCAACTGGTATACTACTTCATTTGTTTTAGGTTTACCCACACATGTCTTGATTTGATGATACACTTGGCCAATGCAATGTTTGTGTTTTAAATAAGCATTCTGAACTAGCGCTATTTCCTTGTAGGCGATGCCGCCAACCTATTCACTGGTGCCCTCTATAATGGGTATGGACCACCAGGGGGCTTTTGTTGGGATGCAGGGTGCGGTGACGATCCAGTCATGGTAGGTTCGCTCACATTCTGGGGTGGTTAAAAAAGAAATAATATTATTTTGACCTCATTTTAGAACATGAATTTTGCACTGTGGGTGTTATTTCTTGCATTTGCTTTGTTCAACCTATGCAATGCAATATTTGGATTAATATGTTCGCTAGATTTGGGTATCATGAGATGTTAGTATTTCTACATCAAAACCCTGCACTCTGCATACTTCAAATGTTTTAGACCCGAGATGATCCTTTTATGGTATGTGACCAGCTTAATGTAAATAATAATGTGGTGGTGGAATCCCTATTTCTCCCTATTCTTGTAGTACTAAAAGTTCATATACATGTAGTTGTTTCTTTGAATAAAACAATTTAATTAGAATATTAATTGCCTCAGAATTGTTCCAATATTTTGGAGCTATAAGACTCCGACAGTATTTATTTAAATCCATGATATACCCCTAAATGTACTTGTAAGGCTTGCTTGCATATTTTGGTTCATTGCCTTAATTAAATAAAATAAATCATAATGATCATTTTTTACTTACTAAATCGAGGTTTAAACTCAGATCTACTTTGCCTTGAATGTACATAAATTGTGGATCAAAATCATAAGCCTGTATTGTTTTAGCTATGTCACCACCACAAATAGTGACATATTGTTAGTCTCCAACCTTTTTGTGGATGGTGTTTGATGGTTGATGTTTGGCATTTGGCAGTTGGTGTTTGGCTGTTGGCGGTCAGTGTCAGTAAGAAATGGCAGGTGGTGAGATTTTGCATGTCAATGCCTTGTTTCATTTTGGAATTATCATTATTGCATGTACAGTGTACTCATTATTTCAGTTGATGATTTATTTAATATCATGTCATACATATTTTTGCATTCATTTGATTTAACAATAACAAACTGATAGCTCATAAAAGAATGAAAGAAAAACCCTCCAACAAACCCAAACAAGTGCTTGATGCAAGATTAATAACTTTAGAATGTTTTGTTTGTTTGTTGTCTTCTAGGATGACAGGCGTCTCCATGACTACAATGTGGATGAGAAGGTTGCAGCTTTTGTAAAGGCAGCAACTGATCAGGTATGACTGAAAGAGGTGTCTCATTCCCATGATGCAAAGCTTTCATCACCTGATTTAATGTTTCTGAAAATAATTTATTCTCATGAGATCCAAAGAGTCATTTTTGTGTGAACACATTTTGCATAGTTTTGTAGATATTATTTATTAATTTATCTGTATTTAATCATTCAGTAATTAACAAGTACAATTTGTTTTCAATCATTATTCTGGTTTTCATGTCCCGAATGTAAAAGTATATAATCATTCCATTAAAATAGTATATATATATTTCTTGTGAAGCAAAGTTCTGAATTATCAAGTTACTTTAGGCAAGTCAATATACAACAAACCACATCATTATGACATTTGGAGGAGACTTCGCATATTCTGCAGCTCCAATGTACTTCAAAAACATTGACAAAATGATGGCCCTTGTCAATGGTAGGGTAAGTGATATTTTGAGATGTCATTTGGGGTTCTGTCTTCTTTATAAAGATATTTACTCAATCCCTAATCATTGGATTATTGTACAGCCTGCTCTTAAACAGACTCAAGACCATTTAACCACATGCATTTTGCCTCTTGTATGGACTCCAAAGCCCAGTATATTCCTATTGGATATGATATGCCCCTAGACCCCCTAGATCCCACCCCTACAGGCCATATAAACCTGTATACATGTATATTGAACATTGAGTAAATAGCATTACAAAGAAGCAGCCCTCGCATGTACTTGTGTGTTAGTATGTATGTTTGCATGTATTCATTATATTTATAGGCCAAGAACTACCAGACAAACCACATCGTCATGACCATGGGTTCAGACTTCCAGTATTCCAATGCCAATACTTGGTACAAGAACCTTGATAAACTCATTAAATATGTCAACATGCAGGTTGGAACACTTTTCACCCACACAGGGGTTTTCCTTCAGCTTTTATATATTATTTAAAGTGGCAACATAGGATAGAGAGTTACAATGTTGGAAGCTTTTGTCAAATTTTTTTTTATTTAAAATCAACAGCATATATACATAATCAACAGTGTGCACAATACATAATTTAAAAGTGGATGAGTGGTAAATCTTTATGATATGGGAAACAATCTTTTCAAATACCAAACCAACGTTTCCCTTAATTCCAGTTAAATTTTGAAAAGAAGATTTGAGATAGCTGATTAATTTTAATTCTAGATGCAGAAAGACTCATCTTTTAATTAAAAAAAGGGGGCATCTATTTTTCAACTTATTACCAAGTAACCTTAAAACTCATGCATAACATACTGTCGGAACAAGGAACTTTTAAAAGTTACTCTCTTCCCTGTGTTGTTATTTAACCATTTCTATTTGGTGTTGGGTTTAGAACTATGAATTAACAACCCATTGGTGATAGGCTGCACCTGCTTCAAACCCACCCAGAGTCAGTATTATTATGATGTACTGACCTTTCCTAATGTAAGATCTGTTATTTGATGATGATGTTATTGTGAAAACAATCCACTTATGAATTTCTTAGTTCAGAATGCTTCTAAATGCATCCCTGCAACAAAAATCTCTTAACTAAACAAAGAATATAAGGAAATCATGACAAAATGGCTCTATTACCAAACTCTTTTGGAAATATACCCATGGTGGAGATTATACATGTAGTCTTGACCCTTCAGATGAGGAATTCCAGATTGTGGGATGGAAGTAGACAAGATATAGAAGAGATATACCAACATTATGCACATGAAGAACCAAAAAGCTCACTCTAACCACCTTAGTATAATCATGGGCTTTCAATCTGTTGAATGTCCATGGTATAATTAAATAGCACAATTTACTTAGATTTATTTTAGTTAAACTAATAAAGTGTGCCTAATTCACATTCCATTCTGTGGAGTAGTATATGATGTGGCCCGGGATGTGGCATACAATAATAGAATAGAATAGAATACAGAATAGATCCTGCATGAAAAGGAAAACACTGACATTGCATATGCTTGTTACCACCATATTTAAGAGTACTATGTACTTTGTTGACTTGATGATGTGAAAGGTATTTGTGCACTTTGAGAATTGTTGTAAAAACATAAATACTAATCAAATCACACACATATTAGGGGTCTCTTCTGCTTTCTCAGCATATTCCATCTTGATATAATTAGTATAGCCCATGTGTGTCTTAAGCCATTTACATTTTACATGCTCTTTAACATGAGTAATAAAGTTAGCATTGTTGCATGGAGATTTCAGCTGCTTGAGTTCCAGAGGCTTCATTTGTTTATTTCATGTTAAGAACATGAACAATTCAATATATCCAGTCACCCTCAGTCAATATATGACCTTATGAAGCTAGATGAAGTATCTCACCATACTTGGACTCAAATAGTTTTACATGTACAGGTCCCTTTAAAATAAAAGCGTTGGATCATTTTTTATAAATATTTCATTTTAAGAGCAATGATTGTTTCAGCAGTCAGAAGTTCACACTTTTTACTCATCACCAAGCTGTTACCTTTATGCTCTAAACAAAGCAGGCAAGACCTGGACCACAAAAACTGATGACTTTTTCCCCTATGGTATGAACAGGCACATGTTTCTCACTGGCTTCTTCAGCAGTCGTCCAGCATTCAAATACATGGTGCGAACATCAAACAACCTTTTGCAGGTGAGTGTACATCATATTTACCATATTGTGAACATTCTTTCAGCAAAAGGAGGTGAATGTCTTCTACTCCACACCATCCTGCTATCTGTACTCTCTCAATAAAGCTGGGAAGAAATGGACAACAAAGGAGGATGACTTCTTCCCATATGCCCATAGGAATAATTCATTCTGGACGGGTTACTTCACAAGTCGGGCAGCATTTAAAGGGATGGTGCGAGACACAAATAATTTGCTCCAGGTATTTTAAGTTTCAGTTTATTCCTTCTATGTTTATTTTATTATTTTCTATACTTTTTATGTTATGTTTTGTTTTTATCTATGAACAAAATCAGTTTGTTTACAATTCCCAGGCTATATTTAAAGAATGGTTCAAATAGACATAGTAGTAGTATTCTACCTTAACAATTTCTACCTTAACCTTTTGTAACTTTACTCTTTCCAAATTAGCAACAATCTTTAGACTTTGTTTAAAAACCTCATATGCAGCTTTATTAATTAATTTATGTGTTAAATGACCTGATTTTAGGCATGTAAACAGCTTGACATATTAGCCAACCTTGGACCTGAACACAGTTCCTCATACAAGATTGATGTTCTCAGTAAGCTCCTATAATATTGGCTTTAAATACCAAAGGGATTCTTCAATCTTTGTGTCTTCTTCATATTTATCATTCTTTAAGCTTGTAACGAGATGTGACACTTCTATTTAAACCATTTTGCATCAAATTCATCTTTCTCTCTACAGTAAAACCCGAACGCCTTTCTCTAGTGAAGATCTGTCTCTAGTAGACACCCATACTCGACACCTACTCTACCAACATCAATGAACACCTACCTACAGTGAACACATTTTTGTGCCTCTATAGGTGTTCACTATTTGCAGGTTTTACTGTATTTTCTTTCAAGGGAATGTGACCCAATGATTATAGAATGCCACTATTAATTTACATAACATTACTCATTTTCTCATTTCACAATTCCTGTTGGATATTTCAGAGAGAGCAATGGGTGTGTCCCAGCACCATGATGCTGTCTCAGGCACTGAGAAACAAGCCGTTGCCTATGACTACGCTGAGAGATTGGCCAATGGATCTGCTGAGTGTCAGGAGGTCATCAATATTGCTCTGAATAAACTACAAGACAAGGCACCATCAATTGCTGCTGCACTTGAGTGGAAGTTCTGTAATTATCTCAATGTCAGCAAGTGTGGCCTCACTGAGAACAACACAGCTGTGAGTGTCATCATCATCATCATCATTGATTGTAGGAAATGGGACAAAATCATTCATCTTAGCCAAAACCTGTATTTGCCCTCAAATGAAACTAGGCTTTACTCCTTCTAAATACCTAACTTTTTGCTTTGGTTAATGTTGATACTGATGATGTCCTTTAAATAGACGTTCATTTTTGCTCATTAAGCTTTTTAATGTTTCTTCTCATTAGACAACAATGCAAGGTTCAGGTTTTACTTTGAATCATTATTTTTCAAAATCATTTTTCTACAAATTGTAATATAATTTATCCAGTATCAATGCGATTAAGTGACAGGGTATCCAAGGATTCAATTACAGGGTGTCCACCATATAAACACCCCTCCATATATAGTTATATAGTGGACACCCTCACATGTAATTGTATTGTTTTAGTTCTACATGACTGTGTACAATCCACTGGGAAGACCTGTAGACAAGTGGTTGAGACTCCCAGTGAGGGGCAAGGCATACACAATCTACACTGGACCTAATGGAGAACTAGTCCCAAATCAGGTACACAGCCAGCTTATCCCAAAGTAAAGGTTAATGAAATGATAGTCATGCCATTTCATCCAGGTTTCATCCATACTATCATGGACGATGAAATATATTCGACATTATGATGACCTTCATTCTGCTAATATACTGTAGTCTGTGTAGTCTACATGTGTGCGATTGAAAACCATTTGAAAATTGTCAAGATGCATTGAACTCAATGTCAGATATTGAATAATTCTATTTGAATTCTGTATGAACCTGTGACACTATAATGAACTACATATAACATATAACATATATAAACTAACTAAACTATAAAGTAAAAAATTGTGTGTTGCTTTTGCAGGTGGTCCCGCTCTCTAAGGAGACTAAGATGGTCCCAGATCATAATAACAGTCGGGCAACAGCAGATTTGGTGTTTAAAGCCAGTCTACCTGCATTAGGCTTCAACACATACTATATAAGTCAGTCCTCAGGTAAGATCACATTAACTGTCGGGGTAGTACAGATGTGGAGCTAAATATAAAGTGAAAAAGATGTGGAATGTAAAACCAATCAAATAGCAGTTCTGTAAGTGTCCCTAGTGAGGTATAACAGGGATGATGCATGCTTTTCACTGAATGGTACAGATTTAACATCACATTGAAATATGGTATGAGACTCCACTTTTAAGTCTTGATAAGTTTGGTAACATTTCTTTTTAAGATTGGTCTGAAATATTGACATTGGATCTGAAGACAGCTGCAAACAAGGCTGCACTTTGTATTTTATATTTTTATATTTTTGCATCAGGAAGAAGAACTGCAGTTAGAAAAGTCAGACAGAATCGCAATTCAGATGTAACTTTGAAAAATGAGGTAAGATTGATACGGTTTCTAAATTTAGGATGAATAACTAGAACATAATATTACAACCATGAAGTTACTGCTTTTTGCAGCATCTTGATGTAGCATCATATCAAATGACTGGCTTTCAACCATGGGGCTGTATTTATTTGCAGCGTGTCAGTGTAGTATTTGATAGTATGACTGGTTTGGTGAAGGAGATGACCAACACAGACAAGGGCATATCGATTCCTCTGTCACAGAACTTCTTCTACTATATAGGACATGATGGTAAGTGACCATAAGTTAAGAGTTGTAAAAACAAGTCATTTAGTTTTAAATCATTGATCCCATAATGATTTTCATTTAGCTTAATTTCACAAAATGTCAACATTTTACAAAAGTGGATACTAATTACTCCTTCCACCTCAAAAAATTAATATGGTGATGAATGGTTGCATAGCTATTATATTATAAGTACTTTTTGATTTAAAATCCTTCCTCCATTTTACAATGCATTCCAGTTTTGAAAAATTTCTTTAATATTATTGGTCTCTTCAATGTTTAGATTTTAATATTCAGCATTAAGCTACTTCAATGTTTTTTGTTGCCTAGGTGACAACAGTAAACCAGAAAAGCAGGCATCAGGGGCGTACATCTTCAGACCTAATGAAACCAACCCCTACCCCATAAATACATCTGCCACACTGGAAATAGTAAATGTATGTATATATGGGGTAGAATATATAGCCACGTGCCATTGCTGATCAAGTTGATCAAGTCTCTGAAGTGTGCAATTATTCACCCTATGGAGCTAAAGTACATTCTTTTTTTCTAAAATTTTTTTTTTTAGCTTTTATTCTAATGATATTCAAATCGAAATGTTCAGTGAGCATGGGTCATGTGACTTCATATCAATGGCCAAATTGCTTTATTTCTTACATGGATGTACATTTTTGATAGAATCTAACACAGGCTAAAGGGAGAAATAGGTAATTTTTAAATAAAGGGCAGTCAACCACTGGTGCCATCTTTATATTGGCCTAAAACTTATGGAATTTAGTTTCCAAATTATATACATTTTTCATATTTCTTTTGACATCACATTATCAAATGAGATGCTTGGAACATCTACTATTTTATTAAAAGTACACGAAAAACAATTTGGCCACCCTGTAGGCTTATACAATGTTTACACATTGAAAAATAATTAGCCCTGTAGCCTTATATAATGTTTACACATTGTTTTAAGGGTGAGTTGGTGAATGAAGTTCGCCAAGTGTTCAGTAACTATACCAGTCAAGTTGTGCGTCTTTATGCTGGATCTCCTTATGTAGAGTTTGAATGGACAGTGGGACCTATACCAATAGGGTGAGGAGAGAACTTTTATGTACAGTAAAATCGGGACACCTCTCAATGATTTCCATGTTAAAAATTGAAATGTGAACACTTTTAGCCAGTCCCAGTGGCCTTACAGATCAGCTTTTATTGTGCATGGACATTTTGTATGATATTGCAGTTAGTAGTATTTGCCCCATATTTAAAGAAGACACAATTGAATCTGCACTGCACTTGTATCTGTGATAACAAGCAGATCAGATCTAGAAGTATGCATAGGGACTTATACATAAAATATCTTGCACCTTTGTTAGTTGAGCTAGAAATGACAAAAAGAGGCTATGAAATAATGGGGTAATTAAACATGACTAAAGTATTATCATGTTTATTTCAGAGACAACAAAGGAAGAGAAGTGATAACACGTTATATGACAAAACTTGCCTCAGATAACAAATTCTACACAGATGCCAATGGCAGAGAAATATTACAGAGAGTGTAAGTTGTATTTTTCTGAAAAAGGGTTTTGAAATAATGAAATAAAGAAAACCATGCTATAAGTGCAATACATTGTATTAAATAGCAGCATGATTAATTTGATTAAAGGACAGTGGAAGACAGATCAACAGTCTGGGTATATTCTTACAATACATAATCTCCAAGAAACACTGATGATAAAGTTTATTGCAACGCACTATTTGATGAAGAAGGGGCAATAATCCCACCAATATACTTTTTCCATGAGCTTGATCTCATTTTTTCTTACTTTTAATGTTTAACGCATAATTGTACTTCATCTGATTAATTATTGTACCCTATGTTATTTCCCATAGCTACAACTCATGTAATGGGTTTAAGCTCATTTTGGTCATCCAAACTTCTTATCTTTAAAATTCCAGGGATCAAGAATGAAACTTTAATTTAATAATACCTGTCTCTCAACAAATTACAATATCCCATTAAACATTGGCAAGAAACGATGCCCATATGGTGATAACTAGATTAACATTTTTGAAAAGTATATTGGTGGGTTGGTTGCCAGTTGATATCACTGAGTCAGTTTGAAAATGACACATTAACAAAACATAAAACCTATATATAAGTATTACACCCTTGAGCTAGAAAACTGAAATGTTGAAATATGAACTAAATGCTGTGTTTGTTTGCAGACGGAACTATAGACCCACTTGGAAGTTGAACCAAACTGAGCCTGTTGCTGGCAACTACTATCCAATCAACAGTCGTGCATTCATCAGGGTATACATGTAGTTTGATTTTTAATATAATTATTGAGATGTTTTATAATGAATTTACAAATGCACATACATTACATATGTCTCTGCACATTTCTATGTTGCAACCACAAATTGGTGCCATATTGTGACCAGCATTCCGTGTGCATTCAGTGCATTAGAGAATGTTTGTAACATAGCATTTACTTGAACACAAACTTGTACATGTACAATCACTCCTTGCACATATAAACATGTACTGGAAATATGCGTTACCATTGATGGCAACATATTGTAGAATTTGTTGTAATTAACGTAGATATTACTTGAGTACTGGGAAGGAGTCACATATGTAATATTGACACTCAAACTGTGCAATATATACGTTATTTTGCACACATACAGTATGTTTGTTTGTGTGATTGTAGGATGAAGTTGCAAATAGTGATATCCAATTCACTGTACTAAATGACAGGTCCCAAGGTGGAGGCAGTATACAGGATGGCAACCTGGAGATCATGGTCAGTTGAAATTCATTAATCTTTTGCATTGGCCATTAATAACAATAATAATTACCATAATGATCAGTCCTAAACTACAGTGTACTAAAAAATAGTAATGCTAAATCCTTCCCATTTTGTGTTCAGAATGATCGATCACCTACATGGTGCGTTTATAAGTTAGACCTCTTAAAATGATTACTGTACTAATCGTGAGTAACATTTCATATGGCTCTTCAAGCTTCATCGCCGCTTACTTCACGATGACTCCCTGGGTGTTGGCGAGCCTCTCAATGAGACGGGTGTAGCAGGCAATGGACTAGTTGTCAGAGGTGAATTTCTATTTTTGTGCATTTCTTCTCTTTTATAATTCACTGAATCAAATTAATAAAAGTTGTTCTCAGTTTCTTTAATCTGACTTATTCACAGTAATATATACTTCCTCCCTATTTTAGGTAAACACTATGTGTATCTTGGAGACAAGTCATCTTCAGCTAAACTGCATCGTGACCTTGGGGAAGAGATCTTCATGGCACCCATTACAGCTTTTACAACTAGTAAACTTACTCCTGAGGAATGGGCAGAGAAACATACAATAACAGTAAGCATTGTTATTTTTCAATATGAAATACCTGTGCATTTCTGTATTGGTATGGGAGTGAGGGAATATTATGTGACAATTGAAAAGGACTAAAGGAAATTATGATGTGTAACATAGGTCCATGCATTTGTGTAACTTAACACCTGTCTATGCACAACTGTAACCCCACTCCATGTAACATTGTGCCAACTTTTTTTTAATGCCAAGAGTTTCCAATTGCCTATAATAATGCCTGAATTTATTTCGCAATACTTTTTAAAAAGTGGACCTCTCATTTATAGATTCTAATGAATTGAACATGTTTGCAGCTTAAAACCTTGTTAACTTCCATATTTGATCAGAGACTGCCATCCCAAGACTGCCACTTATTGTCATTGACTACTGTAACATCATGTACTACCATCTCTTTGTTATATGCACTAGTGTAACATTAATCCAGGCAAAAATGTAACAACAATTAAAATACAACTATAACAGATGTCTAATCTGCACAAAATAGTTTGTCTTATTTACTACATGATTGTATGATGTATTTGCCAGTGGTCAGGTGTAAGGTCTGCCCTGCCCTCCAATGTACATCTGCTGACCCTAGAACAGTGGAATGACAAGGCCCTTCTGAGACTGGAGAACTTCTATGAAAAGACTGAGGCAGAAGGCTCAGGGGAGAAAGAGGTCCAGATTCAGGTAAGCTTTTCTCATGAATAATATTATCCACTTGGAAAATGAGATGATACCTTTGCGAAGATTTGAACTGTTTCAAGATACTGTTTTGATTCTCAAAATGCAAAGAGAGGCTATTTATTTTTGTTTTTTTTTTATTTCAGGATCTATTTGCTCCATTTAGGATCACTAGTATGGTTGAGTTGAACCTCGGTGGCAACCAACCTCTGAGCCAGGCCAGCAAATTACAATGGGAGACAGAGGATGGGCAACAGGGAGGTGAGGACATCTTCTTTATACATCGCTATTTCTGTACATTTACCAGGTTGTTCAATAAGTTTGCAAAAAATATTAAAACCCTTTGAAATGAGAGCATTTTTCCAGAAACTTATTGAATGACCAGGTATATATAAATGTACAACTTGGATGAGGATAGGAGGAAATCAAAAAGATGCAAAAGTGAAAAGTCAGTTCAAAAGTCAGGAATCAGTGCAAAAGTGAACACACTGCAAAAGCTAGAAATCAGTGCAAAAGGGAAAAGTCAGTGCAAAAGTGAAAAGTCAGAGTAACAGTAAGAAAACAGTTCAAAAGTGAAAGTTTTTGCAAAAGTTTGAAGTGTGTATTAAAGTTAGAAGTCAGTGCAAAAGTTAGAAGTCAGTGCAAAAATGAAAAGTCAGTGCAAATGTGAAAAGTCAGTGCAAATGTGAAAAGTCAGTGCAATAGTGAAAAGTCAGTGCAAAAGTGAAAAGTCAGTGCAAAAGTGAAAAGTCAGTGCAAAAGTTTGAAGTCAGTGCAAAAGTTTGAAGTCAGTGCAAATGTGAAAAGTCAGTTCAAAAGTGAAAAGTCAGTGCAGTGCAAGAGTGAAAAGTCAGTGCAAAAGTGAAAAGTCAGTGCAATTGACAGTGAACTTTCACATGAATATTAAAAGTGATATAATCAGCTAGAGTACAGAAGTTTATCTTAGAAAATCCAAATAAACAAACAAATAAAACAACAAACACATAAAAAATGGAAATACGTTTTTAATGGTACACAAACATTTCAATACCCTGCGTGCAGAGTCTAGTTAAACTACACTCTGCCTAGTAGAGACCATATTACAGTTAAGTAGCCCCGCCCCCAGGACGGGTACCGGTGACAGTTTGGGTAGTAAATCACTTCTGACCTACGTGCTGACCTTTCTTCCACCAATCAGCGAGCTTGAAGAAACATACGCCAAATGCGTTCTAATTAAATATGCGTATGTCATTGGTCAATCCCGGGCTCAACGATGACGTCAGAAGGAATGCCCATATATAGAACGTCGGTCAAATTTGGCCGACGAACACTGATTGGCGCGGTGAGTTCACAGGTTTATTTTAGTTTGAAAGAGTGAAGACGAAGCTTTCTTTTAAGAAGTGAAGTCAAACGAATGCAAAGGGTAACATTTCAAACATTTTACATTATTATTAAAGTTCTTATTTGACAAATAGATGTCACTAATGCTCTAGCATGTCCATATTCAAGTCATTAGGAAATTGAATTTATCAGTGTCCGACATTATTCAGAAAACTGAAATGATTTCTCTCACTCACTGACTTGATAAAATCTGTATTTTTACTACACCAGGAATGATAGCACTGGGGCCAATCATTCATAGGTTTTTCTTTCAAGACTTCCACTGCCACGGGGCATGAGACAAAAAGAAGAAATCTTCATGCCCAATGACAACATATTCTAATTCTGAATTATGATGTGAAAATTTATAAAAGCTGAATACATCAGAATTATTGTCATGGCAACTGTTTATTTACTTTCATTTATTATGTCACCACCAAAAAGTGGTGACATATTGTTATGGTCTACGTTTATTTGTGATGGCAGTTGGTGATCGGCGGGTGGTGGTTGGCATCTGTAACAAATTCTTAAAACGTCCAATAACTTAACAAATACTGTTTAGACTGACTTCAGTTTTTTTCAAAATCTTCTATAAGTTTTCAGAAGTTCAAATCTGACTTTATATTTAAGATTTGACCTTCAGTGACCTTTTCAAGGTCAAAAAAGGTCATAAAGGTCTTTTTTCAACTTGTTTCAAATTGACCATATTTATTTTTCAAAATCATCTACAAGGTATCAGAAGTTCAAATCTGACTTAAGATTTGACCTTCATTGACCTTCTCAAGGTCAAAAAGGTATTTTTTCAACTTGCTTCAAATTGACCAATTCTTTTTCAAAATCATCTAGAAGTTCTCAAAAGTTAAAATCCGCTTATAGATTTGACCTTCAATGATATTCTCAAGGTCAAAAAGATATCTGATTATCAATGACCTTCTCAAAGTCAAAAACGTATTTTTTTCAACTTGCTTCAAATTGACCAATTGTTTTTCAAAATCTTCTACAAGTTTTCAGAAGTTCAAATCTGACTTTAGAGTTGAGATTTCCCCTTCAATGACCTTCTCAGGGTCAAAAGGTCTTTTTTCAACTTGCTTCAAATTGACCAATTTTTTTTCAAAATCATCTACACGGCCTCAGGAATTCAAATATCTGACTTAAGATTGAACTTATAATATTGTGAGCAACTAGGTGGAGACATTTTGTCATGTTATTGCCTTGTATTTATTTTTGATATTATTTCAATGATGTCAACATTGATTTACATATGAGTACATTCACAGGTTTTCTAAAGAGGCTATGAACCAATTTTAGAATTAAGAACCAATTGTAGAATTAAGAACTTGGTTTCCATGTTACCATTTTCCCCCAAAACCAAGTCTCTGCACTATTAAGTAAGTTTTTCTGATGACATTAAAATATAACTCAAATAAAATTGTCTATATTTTGATATTGTATGTCCCACACCACTCCATATCAGTAATAATAGGCTAGTATATGATATTTCACTTTTTATCACTCCATATCTTGTTTCTATTTCTTGTTATTCTTGATTGTGTAAAATCTGAGACTAACATAAATAACATTTATGTTAGTCTCAGGTAAAATTGATAAATTAAAAGTGTACTGCCTGCCATATGGTGACAAAATATGGAGAATAATATCTTAATCACTGCTTATTAATTATTGTCAATGAATTTTGATATAATGGTGCAAGTCTGTAAGCTATGTCACTGATAAATGGAATGTATTTTATTGCCTTGATGGTTTAATTAATACATATTGAAGTACAAGATAAGTCAATATAAAAATGTTTTTTATACATAACAGTATTATACTGAGCTTTGCTATGAACTTCTATTTGGAGATTTTTTAAAGTTTTATTATTTAAGTATCTCTAAAAACCTCTGTTTATGACCAAAGTAAAGAGTCACTCTTAGTCTTCTTCCCTTTGCAATAGTTGTAGGTGGATGGGCTTCATTGGTCAAGTAGTTGTGCTCCTGTTTGCCAGGTGGTTGGAGAGATTTGAGGAAGAGAAAATCAATATCAATCAATCTTATAGCAACAAATTAGAGCATAGGAAGTACATTCTATTCTATTGTATGTCTTCCTCTGTGCTCCCTGTTGTTTGATCTCTGTACAAAAATTAAATATTTTGTGACACCAGTCACTAGAAATTGACTAGAAGCAAATACAAATAATCTTGATTTTTATCTTTATATATTAAAAATTTACTATCAGCACCACTTATTTTATTTATGGCAAGAAATGGTACACATTTCTGAGCAAACAAATTTTTGTCTTATTCAGTTTGTTTTCCTTGTATCCCTGTACAATTCTACCAGGATGTAAAATAGTGTTTACTTTTTATGGCCTAATCAATTATATTTGGAATTTTGCTTCATCTTAACATGCCATCTTCTTTTCTGTAATGTAAATGTACGCTTGTTATTTTTTAGTCACATGTAGGACATGAACTTATCAGAGAGTGAGGAATATGACAATACATAAATGATTGTGATTTGCCTCTTTTATTTAAGTTTTTCCTCAATCAGTCAATGAATTTTACGGCAGCCTTGCATAAAAAAGAATATCTTTCCCTGGCCCGACATTGACATTTTCACAACATCTTTCATCTCTCTACCTCTAAAGCAGTGAAGTAATTAACCTAGACATTTATTTTGCTCTCAAATATTTGGAAATATGGTCTGTGCCATGGTGGCATTCAAAAAGATGTTTATTACTATATATATTGACCACAGAGTATAATAAAAAGCAATTTTCAAATAAAATTCTAAATTAATTTTTAATTAATTAATAACACAAAGGATACCATAAATAAATTATTATATTGGAAGAAAATTGCTAGTTATTTCTGTGAAATTACTTCTGTAGCACTTAGTTGGACTGACATGTTCAGTACAATGTACTATAAAAGCAGCCTTGGTTGCCTCTTGTTTTCCTTTTGCTACATTTTTAGCTGCTAGCAAAATGGCCACTTTCATTTACACAGGCTTAGTCTTAGGGTATCATTAATTTCTTAAACATTCCCTAAATGTCTTTGAAATAGTGAATGATTTTAAAATGAGCAGATATTTTAAGTTAAATGCATGCTGGAGTCAAAACATTGACCACCTTCTTCTTTTATTAACGGACAATGTGTCAGATATATTATTAATATTTCATTGCAATTATAGCCATTTGGAAATGTGTTTTAGTTACTTTCTGAAATTTATTGTGAAGGATATTTGAAACACATTTTGTTGAGACATATATATTCTGGTGCTCATGGGTACAAATTATGAATTTAGAGGTAATAAAATCATTCAGATCCAGAAAATATGGTCAACTTATAAATTGTAGAAGTATCTTCACCTTTCATTTCTCTGTTGCCATGGTAAATCAACGAATGTGTTATTTTATATGAACTTATGAAACAATTTTGAATTATTTCCATCTACAAAATAATTAATGTAAATCCAAGAAAAACAACAATTTGAGAGCAAAACATTAGGAACTATTCATATAAACCACTCATAAATATATAAATTAGATCAATATCCAGATTTCTAGAAAATATTTTTGATTTTGTTTCATATTATACATGTTCATGATGATTCAATTAGTTTTAAAACATTTGCTCAATTGGCTGGGTACAAAATGAGTGATAGTATAAACTAAGAATGAATGTTTTTATATGCCATGCTGTGATATTCAAATGTTTTCACCACCATACAATTCTTTGATTCAATAAACTGGCAATGAGCAAAATAGCAGAAAATTATTATTGGTTTATTACATCTCCCTTTAAAGTAGTGTTTCTGAAGATTTTCTACTACTTTTAATAAGTAACAATGTTGGTAGATACGTGTATATGTTATTTTGATTAACCTTTTGATAAATATTTTAATCAACAGTTTGTTTGCATGTAGGATATAAAAATCAAATCAATCTGTTATTTTTCCCAATAATATCTTAATGTTTTAACAAGGGAAGCGCAAGTCCAAGTGGTCAAAAGATAAGATGAAAAGAACATATTAAGAAAAATTCCCACAAGAAAAAATACAATTTTGATTTGTGAAATTACGCATGTCCAATGATATTTCTAAATTGATGATTTCAACTTGGTTATGCTCAAGGGTGGCAATTCCTAGATTAAACAAAGTGAAACAGCATTACACATTGACTGAAATAAAATTTGGGCTTGAAAGGATATTAAAGCAAACATATTTGATATTTTGTATTTTAAAAGACTGTCTTTATTAACTATAAAGTAGTAATTAAGCTTTCCTAAACTAAGTGGGGTAATCACCCGTCAATGGAGTGCACACATCTCTAGGCTGATATTAAAGGAAACCCGAGACACCTTTAACAAAAGATCAACTTTTTACTGGCCTGTATTCAATCACATAAAAGACCTCTTACTATGTATTTTTCCTGGCCTTTGTAAAGTAATATCTATTTAACGAGGCACTGTGGCCGGAGGGTGGAACTTGGATGCACAAAAGAAGCACGCTAGTTGATGTGAGGCCCCAAGCAAATATCCAGCTTGTTTAGATGAAATAGCCATATGCGGAAACTCTTTTAGGTCCATTGCTTTATTTGTCAGCTGAAGTTTTATTATGCAAGCATTAAGAATTAACTTTCCCCTGTTATTTTGACAATTAAGAATAAACCCTCCTTGAGGACTTAATCTGTTTTTGGGGAACTGCTTCGGTAATTGTGTGGAATTAGTCAAATGATACCTGCACAATAAGTTGATGATTTTGGGGGAACAGTCAGTATTCTGATGCAGTAGATTTAATGAAGACATTGAATGATCAGAACCCTATTTTCTATCTCCTCTTACAAGCGATATGCATATTGCATTATAATGATGGTTATGAATAACTAAAGGTCTTAGAATTATATTAATTAATATGTTGACTCTCTGCATTCCTGCTTAACTTCTTTGAATTCAGCATGTTGTATTGCTTATATCCAGTCCTCTGTTTCTTACCCTTTGTGAAAGGTTTAACTTCACACCTCTTCAGGAGAACTTTGTCTTTTATATTTGAATAACTTCAAATCCTTTTGGTCTGGTCTTTCCAATCAAAACTTTAAAATATGTACATTCATTAATCTCAACACAGTAATCTACCTATTCTTAGCTGACATATTATCCATACTTGATTTAATGATCTTATCAGTAATTTCATTTCATCTTTTATCTGTGATTTCATTCATTTATTGCAGAGTGTGGCACTTAAATTCCAGTCCCTTGGTCTCAGGGTATTCTATATCACTCCCTAAGAGGAATTCTTGGGAGTTCTATGAAGATATTATATTAAAGGTTTACTTTGAGGTGTTATTTGTTCAGATAAAGCCAGGTGTAGTCTTACATGAATCATATCATATTTCCATGTTGGGACACTGCAGATGCGACAAGGAGGAGAATTGTTCTCTTTAAACAATCTTCAATTCACTTCTGTCAACAATGCAGTAAAGTATTAAATTTCCTCAATTTTTGAACTTCATTCAATGTTAATGTTTTTAGATCTTATATCTAGTTCAAGTTGAAAGTGTAAACTATTAGGTTATTGAGGGGTATAGCAGATTAAATGCTTATTATCGTTTTTCATTTCTATAGATTTCAGTTACATATGTTATTATTATTTTCAAAAGAGTTTCTCTTCGTTGGAGGTCAAGATTCTTTTTTTTAATTTCAAGCTAAGCAGCATTACAAAATGATGTAGACATACAAAGACAAGGTTGACAAGGTTGTTGTACTTGTTAATGTAACAATACCTTGCGTGAAAAGCACAATACAAATTAAATATTTTACATTATCAGTTAGATTAGATAGTTTGTCCTGCATATTATATAAATTATTTGGAACGTATTTCAAGACCCTCCTGAAAGATTACAGAAGGACAAATATAGATGGATCGAAATAAATGTCATATTTTGTCATAACTTTTCATCTTTCTTTAATTTTACATCGAGTTGATAGTCTTGAACTAGAGTTCTTTTAAAACCTACTAAAAGTGGTGGTATGCCTTTACATTTACATAGAAAAATTTACCTTTTATATATGGAGAAAATTGTATTTAATAGGATTGATGTTTCATTCATAACTTATTTGTACCCTGCATGTAGAGTCTAGATATAAACTACACTACGATCAGTGCCCATGACAGCCAGGGTCATAAATCATTTCAAACCTACCATACTGACCTTTTCTTAACCAATCAGCAAACTGGAAGGAATACTTGCTAAATGCATGCTCATTCACTATGCGATGACCTCAAAGGAAATGACCATATATAGAAAATCGTCTGTATTTTGATGACATACTCTTAATGGCTCAGTGAGTTCAGAGATTTATTGTTAACTGAAAGAGTGAAGATGAAGTTATCTTTTAAGAAGCGAAGTTGAATGAATGCAACGGGTAAAGAGGATAAGAATAAGAGAATAAATTCAAAAAGAAAATTTAAAAACTCAAGAATCAACAAAGATCATTCAAGTATGTTCCCTAGCAGAACCCTGTTGTGTTTAAATGCAAAATGTATTAAAATGGAGCATCAGAATGCTCAACAAAACTTAGCCACTAATTGATGAAATACTTACAAATGTCTTATATCATGTACAACAGTGTAGTTTCTTTGAATTATGAATAGATATAAGTGCTATGTATTAAGCAATGTATTAACATCCAAATATCATGTAGTTTCGCTAAATTAGAGTAAACATCAATGAAATAACTACCCTTTGCATTCGTTTGACTTCACTTCTTAAAAGAGAGCTTCTTCTTCGTAGTTTAACTAGACTCTGCACGCAGGGTATGAAATAAAATGTTATGGCTTTATAATTGACTTTCCTCTTTGGTGTATTTTCAGATGTGGCTAATGAAATCAACGACTTTGAACATCATGCACCATTCTCTGTGAAACTCACTCCTATGCAGATCCGAACATTTGAAGTGACTTTGTCTTACACATAGGACCCCTTTGGACCACAGAGGACCTTATAGGACAACTTTGGACCACATAGGACCTCTGAAACACATCATTCAATATTTCCAAGTTTCTACTCGTAGGACTGCTTAGGACCCCGGACACTTATACATTCAATGTTGCCATGCACTTATACATTCAATGTTACCATGCACTTATACATTCAATGTTGCCATGCACTTATACATTCAATGTTGCCATGCACTTATACATTCAATGTTACCATGCACTTATACATTCAATGTTGCCATGCACTTATACATTCAATGTTGCCATGCACTTATACATTCAATGTTACCATGCACTTATACATTCAATGTTGCCATGCTGTTTGATGTTTGTTTTGTTTCTAATGTAATTTGAATTTAATGTTTAGCTTTATTAAATTACTTTCATAGTCAAAGACAGGGTTAATATTCTCTCATCCAAATATATTATAGATGCTTAAAAATAAGTGCAATTTTATATGCAATTTTAATGTAAAATGCAATACCAGCTTTAATTGTACATACACTGATCTCTATGCAGAAGCCATGTTTTGCTTGTCATGAAATAATATAATTAAATCAGTGATATAAGGCCAAAAATAAAATAGTCTTCGATCAGAAGAAAATTCCAGAAAAAGAATTGATCAAGCCAGCCATATATCTGAAAAAATGACCAAAATGAAATGAAAAAATCCATGGATACAATATACTGAGACAACAACACAACCATGTTAACATCATTTCAAACTCAAGTAACAATGATGTTATCTCAGATAGAATAAGATATTGAACAATGTTTTTGCTAAAAAGACATTTAAAAACAATAGAGAAAAACTAACATTTTTCAAAAAGAAGCTCTGGCTGGTCTAGAATATGAAAGTCTTCAGAAAAATGTATTTCCTGGCCTTATATTAAAATCAATGAGAAATAAAAACAATTTCAGAAAATTTATTGAACATGTATTGAATTAAACTATTGCATATATGTTAATATATAATATGTTTGTTTAATCATGAAATTGCATGTAATAAACTGAAATTGTAAACATGCTAATACATACCACCAATTTATTGTAAACATGCTAATACATACCACCAATTTATTGTAAACATGCTAATACATACCACCAATTTATTGTAAACATTCTAATACATACCACCAATTTATTGTAAACATGCTAATACATACCACCAATTTATTGTAATTGTAAATTGTCATAGCACCTTAAAGAGAATAAAACAAAGAGAATTCTAACATAAACATCATTGTTCACCTTTGTATAACATAGGAGGGGAAGTGTGGTGGGAGGAGGATATGCACCACTTGGTTTTATACTTGTATAACCAAACTCAAGGCTGTAGCCTTACTACATACATGTACCTGTAGTACAATATACATGTAGTTGCTTAAGCCCATGATTTATATGGTGTAAGTTGTTCTTTGATCTATCTTAATGATTTACAAATGTTATGATTTAAATTTAAAGTTTAGGTTCATCTGGGAAAACAATGGATTAAATACAGGTGATCAATTGTAGCATAACTTCAGTTTAGAAACTTCAAAGATTGTTCCACCAGAGAGACTGCACTAAGCCTTAATACAGGCAGCTTTCCTTTGATCCTATGAGTGATTGAACTTTTAATATTAGTAACATTAAATATCTTTTTAAAAAATGTTTAAATATATATGTATAGTATTTAAAAACATTTAAGAAAATGAAGGTATAAAATCCTTTTTCAAAATATGAATCCAAAATTGCCATAGGTATCAGCTTTAAATTATTTCAACTGACCGGGTAAAATAGTGCGCTGAATAAAGTTACCTGTCAAAATTAATAACAAATTATACCTTGATTCCTTGTAGTTATTCTAAATAATTGTAAACTGTTTTTGAAACTTGATAAAAATTGAATTAAATTGATCTCGGAAAATTGCACACCCTGTGTGTGTTTACCTCCTCACTTAGAGCCAACTGTAGCTCTACATTGTTAAATATAACAAGTCAATCTTGCAAATGTACCAATTTAAGGTAACTTTATCTCTAACTGTTTTGCATGTTTCAAAACAAAAACTGACAGCTTTACAATAGTATATTTAATGGGGAGGGGATCTGCTTGAAAAGCATCGTATTTTTTAGAAATAGTTGATCTTCTCAGGTTTCAAAGTGTGTTGAAATGTAGGCGGATATGAAGTACATATGGTGCATATCTACTGGAGGATATGATTACCATTTCTACAGTTACAAGTTATTTTCACATTGTTGATTTTTGTGAAATTAATTTTTAAAGGTTGGGTATCGTGTATCTTTAAACTATGTGTGCATGTCTTTGGGGTATAGGTGAGTGAGTTTGGGAAATTTTAGAATTCCAGAGAGGCAAAACGAACCTCGATTGTTACATTTTTATTATGTAGTTTTTCAGTCCAAATGGATACATCCGGGGGATACATATAAAGGGACATGGGGTCTATGGGGAATCTCCCCGAACTAGAAGTCACATTTTCAAAATAATAAATTTTCAAGGTTGATTAACAATTTTCGGAATCATATTTCTAGATGTTTTTTTTTCATGTAGACTTCAAATATGACATCACTTTGCCTGAAATTTGAATATTTAATGACGTAAATCAAGTTTATTTCTACTCGCATCTAGTCTAATAGGTGCTTGTTATTTTAACATTAAACATATTTTCTTCTCAAACATTGTCAAGTTCAAATTAGGCCATTCTTGGTCCAAGGGTATTTCAATTTTTCCAAAAGCTTGCGAGGCCCGATTTTGAAAGAAGAAATTAGGCCCTGTTAGAATATCAGGAAAATCATACCATTGCATTCATGAAACTATTCAACAAATATTCATGATGCTCTTCATAAGCACAGTGGTTAATACAAATCTTTTATTTAGACTCAAAATCACGGATAATACGATTAACAAATCGTTGAACAAACGCGGGGCTTTATGTCGTGCGTTCTGCACGCGCTTCTTTTATATTGCCAAGATTTGTTATTTTAGTCCCTTTATTGTACCATCCTTTGGCTTTAACATATGTACACAGATATTCAGTGACGGATTTCCTGGGCAAACTTTGCTGGTGTATAAGACATTGTCCAACACCCTTACTGGATCAAGCTCTATACAGACAGGTACTTTCACCCCTTGAACTCCGCCAAAGTTTTTTCTTTCACTTTTAAATACCATGGGGGATTATGTTATTTGCTCATTGCTATAATACATAATTAGGGATTCAATGGTTAGGTTCTGAAGTGCAGATGTCATTATAATTGATATTTATCTTCTATGATTGAGGCATTGGCTGAATTAATTTTTCCGACTACCACTAAGTTACTTTCCGATTGTAAATAATTCTTTTATAGACAGTTTTAAACAAACTTTATCAGATTCCGACGTTGAAAGTGTTGGTTTTCACTAGGGACTTTCATTACTACATTTCAATATACTTGGAAAGTTTAGCTTTGCTGGCCCTATCAGTCGCTTCTTCCTCGATCTCAGTATTTGTATCAATTGTCATGCCATCATATTCGTTTTTTCAATAGCAGTTATATTATTTTATTTAGATTAAAAAAAGTCGTCATTAAACTCTCCCTTTATACCAGAGCAATATAAAAACGTTCAAGCTATTGTTAAATGAAAATCTGCATTCTAATTACAGTCTTATTAAAACTATATAATATCGGTCGTTAATCAGTATTCAGTTATTTCCACAGGGACCTCTTGCTTGCCATATGTTTCTATGGCTAAACCCATCAAAGCTAATCTGGTAATGATACTGTACAAAGCTAAATCTTTTGTTTGGATTAAACTAATCTAGCATCTTGAAGTTTTATTTTATTGCAGTTTCTCGTCAGGTTGTGTAATAAAAAAGGTGGTTGATTTTTTTCATGACTATAGAAATGCAGCAATTCGTTGATAGATCGATCGATTGTCCCAGCTTTATAATACCTGAATTGAAAAATATGTACATCATCAATCGTTACTACATGAGACCCTGTTTTAATGTTTTAGAGTGAGGACAATAGGAGGTTTAATGCTATCAAGAATCTTGATATAAAGAAGGAGGCATTCAATAGGGAGATCTCTTCGCAATAAGAACTGAGCCTGTAAGAATGAGTGCAGCTTTTGTTTAAATTTTCTTTGGGAAGGAAGTACATAATTAGGCGTTTTGTGTTGTTTTTTACGATTTCCATTATTTGGGATTATAAATTGAATTTTTAACTATCCTATTATTTTATCGAGGCTACTTTTATATTAAGTGCAAAATGAGGCTCAATTTTCAAATATATTCTTATTGTTCGATTAGATCTTTTCTAATGCCATTTAGTGGCTGCACGGCACAAAACATAGCCAACCTTGAAAAATAGCTTTCTATCGGTACATAAGACACCATTGGTGCGGATCGCCAGCAAGAAATTCTGCTTGAAATTATATTTTGATTTATTGCTGGTTTTGTGATGATTATTTTTTTGGTCATGCAGAGCTAATTCAGAATTGCGGTTATGGTTTAATTTTATTTGAAGAATTGCGCTCGCGAGTATGCCTCAGTCACCTGCCTTCAATTGGGCCTCGGGTCAGTCTCATAGCGAATATCAGGAATATCGGAATCGCCAAATGTCTTTTCAAGCATATTAACGCCTTTTTCAAAACACTTTTTTGTTCGATCATACGATGATTTGATGACAAGTGTAGTTTTAGCAACTACGTTTTAGACCGAACATAATGGAGGAACCGTCGCTGATTTCTTAATTGACAAAACAGGGTAAATTGACGCGATGCTTGCGTTCATGGTCGTTGAATGACACCATGAGTGTATCATGATAAAAAACTGAAGATATATTCGGCGAAGATTGATCTCTCGCCAGTTATTTCTTGTGCCTTGTGATTCCATACCCTGTGTTGATGAAAGATTGTATGGTACTTGTAATCTAAATGTGATGACATTCTCATTATATATTGACATCCTACTAATAGCCCCTTCTTTCTTTATTTTAATGAAACAGTGTGTAAAATTTCATTATAAGGTGGCAAAACGCTTCGATGATGATTGCAGGCCTGCCTCAACCCAGTTGTGCCCGACCCCAGGCGAAAATCTAAACTGTATTGGAATATCATATTTGCGTTTTTATTGTTTATGATAGTTCTATAATGTGATAAGAACCGCGCGTATGAGATTTAGTTTTAATGAGTTTCCACGCCCATAACGCTAATTCAAATTTGACATTGCTGGAAGCAAAAAATAAGATTTTTG